CGTTAAAGTGACCACTCAAGAAATAAACCTTTGAAAAAAACCACTGCCCGCAACTGCGTATGTATAACCATGTGTGTTACCGCACAAGGTGGGGATCAACACACCCAGTTATGTTGGCAATGAAATTTTAAAAGTAGTTCTGAGAAATAACGCTGTATTGCAAGTGCAATATGTAAATTTATGGCTACGTAAGTTGTTAAGTGTATTTTATACAGTTTAAGTAATTATTGGTGTAAAGATAATGTATTTACCTTAACTCATAATTATATTGTGTCACGTTATCGGCACAACGGTCAAAACCAACGGCCTATTGTTGTGATTCCTTCATGCTTGTCGCTTGGCTTCGCTTGTGTGGAGTGGTTGCGAGGCAAGCTACAAATTTGGAAGCTGAAAGTTGTTGTGTTTTAATATTTCTCATTTATTTTTCTGCTTATCTGCAATCATCATTGTGGTATTATAGGTCGTATAGTGTTTAATTGTGTTGTAGAGAATATGTGTAAAGTCATGAGTTCCAGCAAACTACGTACGAATAGTCAGCATCAGGAAGACATTATAAATCTCGCCGAAAGTATTTATTCTTTAATTCGTCGAGGAGAGATGAAGCGGTGCAAGGTCATCAAACGAGTTGCAGAAATGATGAAAATTTCAACTGCAACTGTCCGGAGGTAAGTGTAAATGTGTTTTTGTGACGTGTTTCCCCGCTTATCCCCAGTACGTTATTGAAGTAAATCGTTGAAAAAGAACAAGTGGGAATCGACAGTTGGAAACGTGATATTATAAACGGAAAGTTAAATAACAATAATGAAAGTAAATGAACGACAGCAGAAACGCGACATTAATATATTCATGTGAGTTTGCGAAGTACATGTTAAATCCTAAGTTTGACAAATAATATAAAAAGTTATGTGTACCTGTGTACCTACGCCTATCTGTTTAACCTATATTTTAAGTCTGTCTTGATAACAAGTGAAAATTTTGCCGTCAATAATTATACGTTAATTTCACACGTTTTTATATCACTGTGTTGTTTTGTAATGTAGGCCTAACCTCAAAACATCTGTACGTATCTATTTACGCCCAGCAATGTAACATCTCTTAAATCTGCCTTGATAACACGTACAAATATGGCCGTCACTAATTATACGTCAATTGGAGACGTTTTTATATCACTGTGTTGTTTTGTCATGTAGGCCTAACCTCAAATGCAAATGTACATATCTGCTTATGCCCAGCCATGTAACCTTTATTAAATCTACCTTTAAAACAAGCGCAAATTTTGCCGGCAGTAAAATAGGTTAATTTTACACATTTGTATATTACTGTGTTGTTTCGTAATGTAGGCCTAACCTCAAATACGTCTGTACGTATCTATTTATGCCCAGCCGTGTAACCTTTCTTAAATCTGCCTTGATAACACGTACAAATATGGCCGTCACTAATTATACGTCAATTGGAGACGTTTTTATATCACTGTGTTGTTTTGTCATGTAGGCCTAACCTCAAATGCAAATGTACATATCTGCTTATGCCCAGCCATGTAACCTTTATTAAATCTACCTTTAAAACAAGCGCAAATTTTGCCGGCAGTAAAATAGGTTAATTTTACACATTTGTATATTACTGTGTTGTTTCGTAATGTAGGCCTAACCTCAAATACGTCTGTACGTATCTATTTATGCCCAGCCGTGTAACCTTTCTTAAATCTGCCTTCAAAACACGTGCAAATGTTGCTGGCAGTAATTATATGTTAATTTTACATGTTTTATATCACTGTGTTGTTTTGTAATGTCGGCCTAACCTCAAATACTTCTGTACATATCTATTTAGTCCTAGCCTTGTTACCTTTCTTAAATCTGGCTTGACAACATGTGCAAATTTGCTGTCAATAATTATACGTTAATTTTACCCGTTTTTATTTCACTTTGTTATTTTGTAAGGTAGGCCTAACCTCAAACTTGTGTTCATGTAGTTATTCATTCCAAGTTACAGTGTTAAGTTTTACTATTGTTAAACGTCACCATAGTTGTTCCAACATCCTATGAACTATAAAATCTTGAAGCTGGTTTTGTTAACTATGGACAGCTGTGCTTGTTCCCGACATAATTTCTTGAAGTAAGTGTAATTGTTTTATTTGGAAATGCTTGCCGTAATAAGAATTAGAAAGTATTTACAATCAATTGTCAACAGTTATAGAATAATTCCATTTTAAATTTCGAAATGGATGTTGGACAAGACAACTTGCTACCTTTTTATGAAATATCAACGAAGATAGTATGCGTTCTTGAGTAGGCATGGTTGTTTGTTATATCTGCCACTTTGGCCGCAAAAATATTGTAGTTATTGAAATTTAATGTAACTGTAAATTACACGTCATAGTCAACACCCTAGACTACCAGAGCTCCTATTTACTTGCGAATGCATGTTTTGTAAAGGTTAGGTTACATTACGCAGTGTATGTGTTAAATTAACTATTTCTAAAGAAGCTGTATGAGCTAGCTTTCAATAAGGGCCGGGCTACAATTGGCATACCTAACAGATTCACAGCAAAAAAAACAGCGCTAAGTTCATACAAAACACAAAAGCACAATGGCCTGGCTACAATTGATATAGTGATAATAATAATAATAATAGTTTATGTTGCTACATTTGTACCGAAGATATTAAGGTCTGTATGTAGAGTTCATTTTTAATGATTTGCATTATTCCTTGGAGTTTTTTTTTAGCATAAAGATAGAAATGTTTCTGTTGCCACATGTTAAACATACAGCTTTTAAGTGTACCTTGCACAAACTTTCCTTCAGATGGGCAAAGTGTGTTGACCACGTGGAGAAGCTGATTGCAGAAGACTGGGAGAAGGAAGCGCACCAAACCGCTGATATACCTCCAGTAATCAGCTCCTTGGATCCGGATTTGGACACCACTGATTAAGACGATCCTGGCAGTGGCGATGAAGTTTTGGCAATGCCACTGACAACCAGGCTGTTCTACTGCACAGTAGGTACTGGATGGTCAGTGGCGGTAAGGTTTGTATGAGCAGGTAAACACATCTGTTATGGGTGGGTACTATTTGTTATTGGAGTCCACATGTGTTTATGTATTTGTCATGTTGTTTGTTAAAATATGTTATTTGTTTTTAGTGTCTGTTATAAAAAACTATTAGTGATATTTTTTTACGCAATATATACCGTTTTTGCTAAATTTGTTCTAAATGTTCAAATGTGTGTTGCATGGTACGATAATGTCATGTATATTGAGTTACTTGTTTAAAAAATGTAATTGTAACATGTTTGGAATCTTGTTAACATAAATGTCACTGTAACATGTTAACACGTTTGGAATCTTGATAATATCAGTGTCATGATAGTTTTACATCTTAGAAATTTCAGTTTTTCTGCAGTCATTTCAATTAAGGAACCACTACAATGATGAGAGTCCATGCACTTTACCTGTAAAATTGGTTTCTTGAGGTCTGTGTGGGTTTGACAAAAAGGAAATGTCGCACCCATTTGGGCAACAAGAGACGCCAGAAATGTGACCTTCGCCGAATCGGCATTTCACTTAGGTATAAATAATATACTTTATTTTTAAAATTATTTTGTACAAATGAAGGTGGTGCCAGTTACAAGCCTGGCATACCCGTCTGTTATCACTTCAGTTCACAGTATAAATGTTCAGTTCTTTTTTAGAGCATCTCAGAAGGGTACGAACACAGAGTAACAGTGTCAAAAATGTGTATGTATACACAAATGCATTTGTTGATATGTTTATATTTTTGTGTAAATTATTTTTATGTTATATATACGTAATAGGCCTATGTTGAAATATATTTATCTCCATCTATAAAGGTGCATATAAAACTATCCTTAAAATGTACATATATCTGCACACATTTGATATATTTTACTTTATTATTTATTACATATTTTTGTATACCACCACATTAAGTATGTTAGAATATCTACTTCTGTGCAGTGGCGTACTCTTTGCTCGACTCAGATCCCCTCGTTTTACCGCGCTGATCTGCCTCCCTGCCTTCCCCTTTCCACCTCGTGCATTTTGATTTGTCGTGGTTGTTTATTTAATGTTTTGTTCTGTCTACTTTATACGCTTCAGACATCTTCTACGTTACGCCGCTACCTTATGCCTGCAGGATGTATGTTTTTTCCTAATGGATTAGTTGCACTTCACTTCGGTCAGTTGAGACCAAACACAGCTACCATGTTTTCGAGCTGACGTTTTACTAGTCACGCTATAGAGCGATGGGCCACTTAGAAAACGGTGAGTCGTGGGAAACGTTAAGTTTGCGGTACAATTTTTAAATGTTTGGTAATTTGTGTGACAAGTGGTGTTGTAACGTGGGTGTGCAGTAGTGCTAGTGTATTTCAAAATCTGGATTTGGTTGCCCTTCAAAATTATTTTTCGGCTTAACTAATGTGTGCCCTTTTTTAACGTGTCGTGTTGGTCCTTTCTCACCGCCCAAGTTTAATGTTCGCTATTTCACGATTTCCATGACTCCATCGCTAGGGTGTTAATTTTTCAATTGTTTGTTGTGTAAAGTTTTTGTCTATCGCAGCTTTGACATGACCCAAACGTATATATATGTTGCATATTTTATATATTGTATATTTTACATTATATATACATATATAATATTTATGCATACTTATATACATATATGCATGCATATATTCACACATATATACATATGTATATAACATGTGTTATATACATCATATGTGTTACATGTTTTATATATAATATTATACATGTTACATTATACATTATACATCAGTTCTGAAATGAAACATTGAGTATACTAACATGTGTCAACCACATGGCAGTCACATGGCAATGTTTGTTTACATGTGGTGGAAGGGTACATAATGGGCAAGAAAGTATAACTTTAGCAGGGCTTTCAAAAGTGCTCACTTTATCGTAAAAGGCCTTTGGCACAAAAATCTTCCCAATGTGTAGTGGGTACGTATGCAATTTTATCCGTGGCATCGGTGGTTCAGTGGTAGAATGCTCGTCTGACAAGCGGGCGGCCCGGTTTTGATTCCCGGCCGATGCAACAGCCCTACTTTGTATTAACAAACACCTCCGTATGGTACTGCGAACAAGCAAGGTCGCGTGCCCAGGTTATACGGAGATGGATGGCAGTTGATGACGTCACGGTCGAGTTACTGCACAAGGCAGCTCGTACCTCTATAGGTTGTTCACGGTAAAGTAAGCACTTTTGAAGTCCTAGTTACTTTTTTTTTGTCAGCCATTTTTTTATCATTTAACCACTTTTATAAATAAATATTTTGCTACGTTAGTAGTAAACACAGCATGTATATTTTATCGCACTCGGAAGTTAATGCCTAAGGCTAAAATAAAATATGATTATTTACTATTTTTTTCCAAATGAGAGGGCTTTCAAAAGTGCTTACTGTACCGTGGATATCCTATAGTACAGTACATGCTGCGGAGGACGCCATTTCTCGTCGCAATTTACATTCCATATTTTGCTCTATATGGCTGTAATAACGGCATGTAATAGTAATACAATTAATGTCTAGTGAAGAGAGTGAAGAGTGAAGAGATTCGGTGGCTATTAACAGCGAATGACTTGAGAGCCGATGGGGGTGATTGACGTATAGAGCAGTGCCGGAATAAAAGGGCGGGGGAAACGGAAGATCCCGAGAAAACCCGCCGACCAGTAGCATCGTCCGGAACGATTCCCACTTGCGAAAAATCAATGAGTGACCCGGGCTGAGCTTGAACCCGTTTAGCCTCGATGGGAGGCGAGCAGGCTAACCGTCTGGAAGTTGTCCCGGTTGTGGCAAAATAGCTCACCACCTTCCTATGAAGTGTGAATGATGGTTTCGAATAGATATAGAATTTGTAGATTAAATTACGGGCGCCCAGACGAACAGCCACCTCTCCCTTACCCCACACTCATAACATCGGAGTGTGGGACCCCCCCCCCCCCCCCAAATGGTGAACCTATATAACTAAATTACTCTTTATTAAATTGTAGTAGTCATGATAGAATTTAACATCCTGGATGGCTGTACTGCTTAGTAGGGTTAATGATATATATATATATATATATATATATATATATATATATATATATATATATATATATATGGCTAACCGCTCAGCCATCGTGGCCCGTATATTAATGTCTATTTTTAAACATTCCCTAAATACGAAAATTTGCAAAGGCAATGTATAAATGCTTGTAAGAGAGAAAACTAGACCAATGTGTAAACAAGTTGGCAAAAAAACGCTGTAGTATTAATTAAAAATAATTGTTATACTGTATTAAATTCCCAACGATTAAATCGATGAACGTAGCCCATTTAAGATACTTCGAAAAAAAAAAAAGAATGCAGATGACATTGCAAGTAGGCCCCTATCGCCTCTAACAGAATTTTATCACAATCTCTCTCAGTAGAAACTTCCGCGTCGGCAGAGTCAAGCCTCGAAATAGATGTCCATGATTTGGTTTATGACATAAGCATGAGTTTTTGCCCAGTTATGAAAATTCACGAAACGAGATTGCGAGTAAACATCACAGGCCAAATATAGGGTTTTGCGGTCTTCTTTCAAGGTCGTTGAAGAAGTCTGCTGTAATGTGCAGGCAAACGTCGGTTCCTATTCCTACAGCATCACGACGTGGCTTCTGTTCGGAAGGCAAGGAAACCATCACACAAGGAATTTCTGTAGATCCTTGTGTTGGTTTATGTGCAGATATCTTAACCCAAACGTTAACTTAATTGAAACTAAAACTTATGACGGCTGTATAACATAGTTCTCTTGAGAAAAAAAAACAGCTGTAGAATAATTTAACCTTTTCAGTTATTCTACACAGAATTGTGTTCCAGTTTAATGACAGAATCCTGGCAGAAGACCTATAAACATACTGCAGAGGAAGAAAATGCACTTCATAAAAAGAAAAACAAGGCAGAGAGTGAATAAATGAAAGGGAGAGAGAGAGATAGAATACAAGAAAAAGGCGAGTATAGAAAGGAAGTTGACGAGAGAACTGAAACACAAATGCTCAAAGTAATGCCTGATGTCCACGTTCTGGCAAGAATAAATCGTAAACGGCGTGGTTTATGAAAACATCAATATTAGCTTCATTTGTTTAGTTCGATATGCGGATTAATTACACACGGTAAAAAGAACTATGCTTCCGTGTCTCAAAATTAAAAATTAAAATGTAGATAGGCAAGCCAGTCAATTCCACGAAATCATTAGATCCAAGCGACGAATTCCGCAGGTCTTTGCATTTCCCAGAAACTAGCAGCTTCGTCTTTCAGCTGGTTCGCGGTAACTCAACGCGTTTGAAGCCAACCTTCGAAATAATAATAATAATAATAATAATATTATTCTCTCTCTGAAAGGCTTACTTTCAGTTAAGTTCGCAGCAACGTGGGGAGAGCAGTTCCGTATTTTAACATGATTAAAAGCATGGTTTCTTAAAATTTGTGGGCGTCCATTGTTCAATTTTTGCTTTTGCAAGCAGAGTATGTATTTCCGTTCCTAGGAAATTCATAGCTCCACTGTTCTATTTGCAATAAAGTGATGTTTTCAGCTACAACTTCAAACGCACATATCCAAAAGTTGTACAAAAGTTCCATTTTTTTTTTTTTTTTTTTTTTTTTAACTCCCCCTTCTCAAGAACCTTGCACTTTCCCTTCCAAGATAAACCGGTAATTGCAATTTGTGGGTGTTATTCAGTTTCATAATGCACAAGCGTATAAAATAATAATTGGGCAATTTCACATATTACATCACAGATGTATTATTTTGTTTTAATTAAGTTTTAATTAACGATTTCAGAATCGTTAACAACAACGAGCTAACGGAACAGTGCCAATATTCGAAGCCGAATACGCCGATGTCTTTACAAATAATTCTGAGTGAAAAGATTTGTTGGCATGGCAGAAACAACGGCGGAGAAGTTTCTCCCGTGAGTAAAGAGCGCCCTTTTGTTTTGAAACGGCCGGCGAATATTCGGCAGAGGACAATGGTGTGGCGCTGTGCCAGACCTTGGTCTCGGCCGGCCAAACCTTCACGTTTTCGTGCGTACGGGTGACGTCACAGGGGACAGACTCCCTCACCGAGCCCGACACGAAACACAATAAGCACCTGTGAATAGGCGCTGGCCGTGGCTGTTCCGCATGGGCGTGTGCGATCAACTCCTCACTTATTCGCCAACTATCCTAGGTTAGCTAAATTAAACTGCATAAACACTTGTTCAGGTAGTTATTGGCTGTTCGCGGTAAAATGAGCACTTTTGAAACTCCTGCTTAAGATCTACTTGTGTACACGCTGTGCATTTCTCCGCCTTATGTAAAATTAACATTGCCACGAGCCTCGTCATTTTATTCACATGTCTGTAAAACGGAACGGTGAAATTATTAGAAAAGTAAATATTTAACTAATCTGATCTTTTTTACACTTCGATGCATTAAAAAAAAAAGACACAAAACGAAAGAAATAATTTCAGTAATCACAAATGGTTACCTAGCACTTTTTATTCTATGTTAAGTTACGGAACTACCACCCATCCATCGTTACCAACTTTGCTGGGCGCATGTCACTCAGGACGCCTGTTAAAATGTATGCAGTTAGGAGCAGTGACTTTTGTCTAAGGGTGAGTTCAAAAGTGCTTACTTTATAGTGAACAGCCTTTAGTGTTACATGTTAGTTTAAACTGTAAACAAACTAGAGTTTAGAGATTTGGGCGGTTGGGCGATCACGTTTTTCATTCGCAGCCCTTCCTAATACTGTGCATTTCTTTCCATTTTTTGACGCGAATACGTCTTTAAAATTGCAACCATAGTGGGAGGCAGTCCATAAAATCCGAAGATTGCAAAATTGGGGGATACAGTTTGGAAATTGCAGCTCCGAATTTATCGTCTACATTCAAAATTCAATTACACCACTCGATTGCCAAAGGATAAAAGAATATGTTACGATGAGTGAGGACTGCGACGCATCACGCGCAGATGTATGGCCGGGGGGGGGGGGGGGAGACGGCGCAATTTTGAATTCGTGTTTAAAGTTTAACGTGTTCCCAACTAATAACGTGAATTTTTCAGGTCTGTATCCATTAAGTATTTACTGATCAGTGATTGTTTTACAACTGGCAAATAAAAACGCAGAAAAAGAAATTTCCCTTCGAAATGCATTGCAGGATGTAGCGCAACTGTGCATGGTATAGATCGCCCCACGTTGACGAGGCCAGATGTAACGACACCAACCTCTGCATCTACGCCGTCACTACTACGTCTACTACTACTACTACTACTACTACTACTACTACAGAACGACTTGACGTGTGCTCAGTGAAGTGTGTAACATATAGTAGACCTCGCGTACAGCGCGATATAATTACGTAATGTAAACGTGTAAGGATGTAGATATTTAATGCCCTGTAGAGAGACAGAGTTTAACAGATGTAGGAACTTAACGTGCGTGACAGAAGAACATTCACAAATAGCACAACAAAATTCAATTTCAAAACAACTATAAATATCACTAAGAAAATTCCTGCTATTTTTGGAAGTAATTTACTCAGTAGAGACGTTATAAGAAAATGTGAAATTTAATTAGAATTCTTGTAATCAAATTAATTCTCTCAGACAGGAAAAGTTTAATCAATTTGCAGACTTGGTTTTATCTGCAGCCTCAGCGACACTATTTTCTCGTGTGATTGAAGTGATCAATTTAATTTATGCCTGGCAAATAAAGTTTCAAGCCGTCAGAAAATTGAATTAATTAATTTGTATCTTTGCCCCAGACTGGTTCGGTGTTTTAAGCAAAAGACTAACAATACTAGAGTATCCGTAGTTAAATTAAACAAGGTTCAGTTCAGCTCGAATAGAAAAGTTCCTCTCTGCTTATAAATATAATTGTTCTTAGACTTAGCTGAATATAATTTAAAACGAAGAATTTTTGACATTCTCGAAGTTCCTGGTGATCTCGTTGCCAGCAGCCGCATCCCCCTGGATGCAGCAGGACCTCTCATCACGGGCTTCCCTATTCCGGCTCTCGAGCCTGTAGTGCCAT